GCGGGTGGGGGATGCGCATAGTATAAAAGGGGCCGGCTCGCCCGGGCCTCGGCAGTTCTAATTGCACTTTGAACCGAATAACACATGTCATCTCTTGATTTATTATAAAGTAAGTGCGTTATTCCTGTGTATTATTAGTGCGTTTGAATATTTGTTAATGATGAAACCTTTACTATTTTTAATGATAATTGTGAAGTGATAGATTTTAGTGAACCGTATTTAATCGATTCGTACGCGCAAGTGCAGTGGTTGAGTGGACGCTGGGTCGGTTAAAGTGGGGTGGAACTCTTATATTTTCTATTGGATTAACATTATGATACCGCGTATTCTAATTCGTTTGATTGTGACTGCGATTTTCTTGTTTACTTTTTTCCTGTGGTTAATTTGCGTCCACCGTCTCCTGCATCTCGACACAAAAACGATTACAATTAAAGATTTGTCATTCTCTTTCGAATATGAAGCTTAAACAATGGCCGTTACATTGAGGTAATTTAGATTATTTCTACGGATAAGTTCAGTCATCAGATGTGATCATTTTTCTATAACGTTTTGGAAGCAGTGAGAGTTAAGCATTTTTTAATTTTTCATCAATCGATAGATCTTACTCCTAATATTATAAATGGGAATGTTTAGATGGATAAAATGATATCGTTGAAATTTGACGTAGATATAGAAGGAAGCCCACTGTGTGTGCTCGGAATTATTTTTTACGCGCGGACGGTGTCATAGCTAGTTATTTTACAATTATATTAAAATCATTTAATTAAAGTATTTGAACAATTACACATTTCAAAATTAATCAACGGCAATTAAAAACTCAAACATAATTTTTTTTCGGTATCGGCTTTTAATCTATGACTATTTTGTGAAATCGACTACCATTATTATGATAAATGAACCGAAAAATCGCATTAATATTGTCACAACAATTAGGCTGGGAATACACTTGTAAGTAACTGGCATAGTTGCATACCAGGTACTGGCACATAATATTTAAAGATGGTAAAATCTTACTTGCATTCAAACTTCTTTATTTCGGAATTTAAAAAAAAAACACCTCATATACAACATTCACGCGTGCATCGGCTACCTTCCAGTCAAAGTCCCGTCAAAATCGGTGCAGCCATACTGTTCATTACTTGTAATAAACTCGGCGTGCGGACAGATGGAGTGATAGAAAAAACATTTGTTAATACGATTTTCTTTATCAACAATGAAAATAAATCATCTTCACGAAATCCGGAATTTTCCTTTCGATGTTACATACAAACAGACCAACTTTATAACATCTGTAAATTTTCTATCGAAGTTTTTTTGTTGTTAGAGCACAATTACTCAAGTCGTGTTTCCTTTTGTTCTAGTTTTAATTAACTTGCTTTTGGATGTCATCCGACGACCACCAAAAGAAGAAAGGAGGGGGAAGGAAGAGGTCAGCTCGTCGCCGCGCCCGCAATGCTGCGGACCGGGAAGAGCCTCCTGGTCCCCTGATTACACTTCCGCAAGACCTGCGAGCACATCTCGATATGGATGGTGATAATGCTGTAAGTATTAGTAAAGTTTTTTTTATAAATCATAAGATTGCAAACGAGCAAGAGGCTACTTGAATTCTTCGAAAAGACGAAGCGACCGCAGCTCACAGACATCCGAAATTGATCGAGGAAGAGACGCACATAAAGAGGATGTTTAATTCCTTCCTATTTAACACCAGCCTCCTATCGACTCTTCCCACCCTTTGCTTATAGGGAATGGAATTAAAATTAGGCCTCCGGCACGCACAGTCACCAGATGAAACGCGGGATTGCTTAAACTTCACGCGTGTCTTCTGTGTGGTCGTAGTATAGCGAGGGGGAGGGGCGAGCCGGCCCTTTCCTACGAAGATGTTATCCGGGCTTAACCACTGTTGAAGATAAACTTTAGTAATAACCCAGAAAGAAATAGTCAGACCCAAACAGAAAAGAGAGATTAAAATTATGTTCTTTTACGAGTATATACTGATCTTGTTTTGGGAATACGAGTAGTAATGGACCCTCTCTTCGAACAAGTCGTCAAAAAATATTTCAGACTTCTGATTGTAACATTTAATTACTAAAATTAGACCCACATAAAATAAAATTTAACATTCAATGTCACTGCAACGGCTGATGCAACAAAAGTGCGGATGACATTTTTGTATAAGAAAAACAATATAAGGTATCAAGAAGAAACCTTGACTAGAACAGTATTCGCTTTCAATATATCCAAGATGGCCGTCACTACAAAATGACTGATGTAACATTTGTACTTTGGCCCCAATATGGGAACCAAAAAGGCTTTAGAATAAAATCCAATTAAGTCCAAGGTGGCCGCCACATTAAAATAGCTGCTCATATATTTTGCTATTTCATAATAGTTTTTATTATTTTATGATCGATTTATTTTTGCTGCAGCAGGATAACTTCCAAGATGCTTCGGGCGATTCACCGGAGTAAGTATATCTATATTATCTCACTTATATTATAAATGGGAAAGCTTAGATGAATAGATGTTTGTTAGAGTTCACGGATGTAGGAGATAGGCTGAAAGAATGCATAGGCTATTTTAATTCCACGCAGGCAGCGGCGCGGGCAACATCTCTTAAATACTAGTTTTGATTTTAGATATATTCGTTTTATAGTTCTGAAAAGGATGTTAAAAAGGGTTGCTTGAAAATCATACTTCATGCTAATATTACAAATGCGAAAGATTAGATGAAGGGATGGATGTTTGTTAGAGTTTGTAGCCTAAACGGCTCAACGGATTTCGATGAAATTTGGTGGAGATGTAGAGGATAGTCAGGAAGAACACAGGCAGGCTTCACTTTTGTTTTAATTCCACGCGGACATTACACATAGACACAGAACACAAAGAGCAGCTGTGCCGAAACTGATTGTCCTTTTTTTTTATAGTCCCAACGTGAATCTGCAAATGGCCCTCGATGACTGCGAGATGGCCATCAAGCGCTTCTTCAATAATGAATTAGATTCAGCCATGGGCATCATGGAGGCTCGGTCAGTATTCTTTCTTATTAATATTCCTTAGGTGGATAAGCTGATAAGATCCACAGCTGAAACACTCAGAAAATATGCTGTCATCTCTTTTTTTTTTGCTAATGTTTTCAACAGGTTGTTCAGCGCTAATATGCAAACCCAAAGAGTGGGAACTGTTTGTACAACTGAGGCTTGCGCTAAACTTTTATGGTTATTTTTTACTGGACGTGAGACACTGCTCAGATTCAGTAAATTCGTCATTTAGTTGATAGATGATAAAACTGGAACTATTTGAATAAAAAAGGGAAAACATGAACTTGTAATGTCTAACCACTAAGTGTCAAGCTCACAAGCTTCTATATAACTTGTCTTTATTAAATTCTCGTAACTCCTAATTAACTCTACCATTACCAGAGTTACATAAGAGTTTTTTTTCTGATAATTGCTATTTTAATAACATGTTAATATTTAAAAGGAAAAAATGCGTAATTATCATTGGTTAGAAAGCGAATTAACGACTCCACCTGGCCGTACTAGTTCTATTGGCGATGAGGATTTCAAAGTCCACATCGCCATCACTGGTCACAGCCAATGACTTTAGACTTTCTACCAGGAGCAGAACGTCAATTTACCACAGCCTGGGTGTTTCGATATTCGAGTTCATTCCTGCGGTTTTAACCCTGGATTCGGCTCAGGTAGGCCGCGCGATCCAGAGCCTCAAGCTGACAGTCCAGTTATGCAACCAGAACCGGAGGAGCTACACGATAATGCAGACGATAGGGACGATAATGGCCAAGGTAATTACCATCAATATACATGTCAGACGCGCTTTACGAACTTTACGTACCACAGATACAGTTATTTTACATATTATACAATATACAAATCATACGTCTTCCTTTATACTAGTTGATGAACCTTTACGATATTTGAAATTACTCAAAACAGATCTGACCTTCCAGACAGACGCACACAAAGAAAAATTTAAAGTGTTTATGTTGAAATAGTTTTCTTTTTGGTATTCCATTTATACCCTCCAATTTTATTTATGTATAAACTAACTATAATTCTGGGTTGCTGAAGTTTCCATTTATTTTATCAATACCTAGTGATTCATTAGTGTTAAGTTAAACTAAGTTTCAAAGAAAGTCCAAGTTACGTAATTTAGAAACGCATTTCATGAATTTATTGAAGCAAAAACACTAACAAATGGTTAAACGTAGCTGGGAAAATTACCATTAGTGACGCTTTAGCTCCGATAACCTGCGCCTGCGTCTCTATCTAGCCGATTTTATCGCTAGTGTTACTAAAACCGTGCGACACAAAGTCCGTAACGCGTGTTTGGCGTTTATTGCATGTGTTGTGTTCGTACATGCTTGTGAATGCATTTTGAACGGATTTTTGATAATTGTATTACAACGAATTTTTAAAAAGTCTCCATTTATTTGAACAATATGAAGTGACTAAACCGATTGAAAAAATTTTAGTTAGAATTTGTTTGCATTTTGAAATATCATCATAGTATAATTAAGTTGCTTGCATTTCTAAAATATGTTTCCTCTATGATAATCAAAAGTGAAATTATAATTCTTGAATGAAAACAGATAAGCTTGCATTAAAACTAGTAAACTACGTTCTTGTTTGATTAAAAAATTAGGTAATGTGAAAATAGTCTATTTATCTTTATGCTAAAATCTTACGTCGTTGCATCTGTTATAGATTATTCTATTTTTGCTTTATTTTTGTTAACAGTTGTTAACCCTTGTTTCTTTTGCAATACCTGTATTTGATTTATCTTTGTCTTATTTTTCTTTCAAGTAGTTTAGTATGCAGTAGTCGGAATTACTAATTTGCGAGTCTATGCTAAAAAATTATATTTTTCTTTTTTTTTTACTTTTTGCACAATAAAATTAACATGTTACTGCATCAAGTTTTAAAGCATTTATTTTATTTTATTCACTTTGACGTACTCAAAAATCTAAACATTAAAAATAAATAATAATGGCAAATTTAATATCCGGAAACTTAATAAATCTGACACGGATCTGATCGCAAATTTGGATTAGATTATAATCTCATGTGACAAATCGACAACTCTTAGAAAACGATACGTGGGAGTGTCAATAGAATGGACAATTATAATGCATTCTTCAAAATACGATATCTCGATGAAATAGAAGAAATCTTACTAACATGATAAATGCGCAAGGATGAATTAGTTACCACGTAACTCGAAACACAACTGCGAAAGTACAAGTGTATTTTTACTTAACGTGTATTGTCGCGATAATTCTCCGGAGGACTGGCACTAACATAACAACCGACTCGCCACTCTTAAGTTCCTTATTTGCCAACACCAGCCGAACTACTCGACAATGACCGACACGGAAGCACACGCCGAGCTCTGCTACGCGGAGTCGATGCTGCTCCAGGCGGCCCTATGCGTCATAGAGGGAGAGGATATCGCGGCCTTCCTCAGGGCAACCATGAAAATCAAGAATTCCTACAACACCTACAAGTAATTTATACGCTAAAGCATCATAGTCACTTCTTAATCACCACTTCGTTCATCATTAAGGGAAAAAGAAAGTTCAGAACATCTTCACATACAGTTTCCGTGAAACTTGGCACTGTTCACTATTGCTCCATTCCCCATAACTTGGGTGTGCCATAAAAGCGACTTAAGTTAGACCCTCAGACACAACGGGAAGCCACCTCACTCAGGGATTTGGTTATACTAAAGATCTAATATTTTTTTTGACATTAAAAACTTAATGCTTTTTGATTCTCGGAAACCAATTGCATAAGAATGAAGACTTGAAGGCACCGTGAACATGCCATGACAGTTGGACATGAAACCGCTTACATCATTTATCTTCTAAACATTATTTCACACATTACCGTATACTCGCCACTAAAGGCCGAATGGAGGAACGTTTAATTTAAGTAGTGTAACACTGATCGTCCGCAGGGAGTGCTCGCGAATTCTCGAGAAAAAGACGTGGGCAAGTATAGAGTCGCGCCAACATTTCCACAGCGGCGTTCGCCTCGGGCTAGCAACCTTCAATATCATGATAGCATTATTACCGGCGAGAATTATTACGCTCCTAGAATACGTCGGATTTTCCGGCGACAAGGTAAGGCAAAAGAGCAAACAATGAACTCCTCTATCTTGACCTCATCTATTTAGCATACTTATTCTACGTCCAGACTACAGCTTTCTACAAATTCTTACCCGCTATTAATAGGAGCGTTTCGTTGCTGCGTGAACAAGTCTTTAAATGGATCGCATTGACAGGAGGCTGGGTTGGCAGAGCTTCAAATTGGTGCGAAGCAGCCGGGCCTGCGTGGCGTTCTCTGCGAAATTGTCTCGCTGGGTATCCATCTCGTGGTGAGCCATTTTGCTGGAGCCACACCGAACATTCATCAGTGTCGCGAAATAATCGACGCGCAACTGAAAGTAAGTCTAATACTTAATTTTGTGTCATCGTCTTCATCACTAGCTCAGTATACGTCCCAACCAAGGGGCTCGGAGCCCACTCTATGTTAGGGTCACTAGGTCATTGTCAACCACGCTCGCCCAGTGCTGGTTGGTTGACTTCACTCATGTCTTCGAATTTCTTTGCCGATGTGTGCAGGTTGCATCACGATGTTTACCTTCGCCTAAGAAAGTCGGGTAAATTTTGCACATATGAAAATTCGATAAATCGCAAATCACATTGGTACATGGCGGGATTGGAATCCAAAACCAGTATATTAAAAGTCAAGTGCTTAATTTTGTGTATGATTTTAAAACTTGTAAGCATGATAGTAACTATCGCGGTCTCGTTTAGGTGTACCCGGAGGGAGTCTGGTTTCTCCTCTTCGAGGGACGTTTGGAGTTACTCCGCGGTCGCTGCGCCTTGGCAGCGGCAACTTACCGCCGAGTCGCCGAGACCCGTCATCTTTGGCCGCAGCTTCGCCATCTATGCTACTGGGAGCTGATGTGGGCGAGCGCGTAAGTTACTCAATCCTTCCTTAGCGATTTTTTTAGGTCGCCGAGTCGAGAAGCAGTTAAAATCTATAGCAACCATAACAAAACATCTACGTGTTCGCTTTCAGAGTGCCCTGAACATCATTGGCGTGCATACGCAATGGTTTAAGGATCTACTATTGCCTACATGAACTGGACCCTCTTTACAGTATTGCAGTATGCTCTATAATTGAAAAAAGCTGGCACATTTTACATTTTATTGCTAATTATTATCAGCTTATGTAATAAATTAGATTAAGATATGACACAGGGCCGTTCAACTTTCAGAGAAGTACAAGGCACACGATAAGGTAGCGTTGATGATATCTTAGAGTTAGCTATGGACGAGCGTAGGGCATGTAGAAATGAGATTCAATACATCGTCTCGTGACTATTGTAGGCGATATTAGTGACATCAAGCAATCATAATGCACTTATCTGATTCAAGACCACGTAGTCCCTTAGTAATAAAAATATGGTTAGGTAGACATCTGCTTTACGTTAACATTACGGCATACAATTGTACATAAACCATGTTCCACTTTTAGATTTAATTCAAAAGTAAAAAAAAATGAATGCGTTAAGAATTAACAATAACTAAACTAATACTTATTACCACGCTGTTTAATCTTAAAAGGGTATCACGGAAGTGTAAAATTATGAGCATATCTTTTCGCCCTTGCCAAAACCAAGCACAATAAACTCATGTAGCTATGTACAGTCGTGGAATCTGTCGGTATTCTACCATAAACTAAAGTCGTTTCATCGTTTTGTACGCATTGAAATGACGACGCGGAACAATAACCAATTGGGTGCAGTTTTCAAATATGTCTGTAGAAAAAAGGTCGGTCATACACGGCTAATTGCTGTATATTACCCCGTTATACGCAACTAACTGATATCTACCATAATTGGTTATTTTTAAAGCGTTTGTTTCAAGAAACAAGGAACTTTTCTATAAATAAAACACCGTGTATTTCCGCGACTGTACGTGTTTTTATATTTACATTTTAATCGTTACGTCTATTGTGATATAATATTGAAACTCGATTAAACTGGACCAGCAACTTGTTAAAAAAAAAATCTTATGCTTTTCGCTATGAGTTTCCGTTCTATATCAACTGACCAATGCATTCTTAATCTGCTTTCATCATCATCATTTATTGAACTATTCTTGATAGACCTTCCATAGTTTTCTGCCTCCTATCGCCTCACGCTTTGTCTGTATTCTAACCATACCGTGAGTCTATCCTAACGTTTGTATTACAACATCGCTGTACATTTCTTGTACAGGGGTAACCGTTCTTCAATGCTATTCAAGGGATGGGATTTGTATATATTTGGCAAGGAAAATCACGGATAAGGTTAACGCATGCGCAGGAGGTTTGCCGATTTCCCAATAATAGACCAGGTGGCTCGTCTACCCAGTACTGTCAGATAACGCGTTACGACATGAGGCTATCGGCAAAGCTTCTAGAATGTTTTGGCTGCATTATTGTAACCCTTTGTCTTGCTAACTGCATTGTTTTGATTTCATCTTGTTTGTGTGTTCAACACATTTTATATAGCTTTGGCAGCGCATATTGTGAAATTAGGTATTGCTCCATTTGGATTGTCTTTATAATTTCTTTTATTACATCTAATTTATTATGTGTATTTTATTTTAAGTTACAGATAAAATGCATGATCGTAGACATTTTTATGATTAGTTTATTTTGTTATATATTGTGATTATGTTGTTAATATTATTTGAAAAAAAAGAAACCAATGTAATTTAAAGACATTGGAATTAGAACAAAATGACTGTCTGATTTTTAAAAATTTAGAAATATGCTGTAAATTCTAGCAAATATCAATACATTCATCCATTCTCAGTTAGAATGTTATTACGAATGCGAATTAACAAAAAAAAAAAACGAAATATCATTTATTGGAAATTATGTTGCATTTTCATATTAACAACGTAGTAAGTTCATTACAATGGACAATAATCATGTGGTTTTAATAAATAATGCTAAAAAATGGCAATATTAATACCAGTCCGCTGTTAATTTATGTTATAAAAATATTTATTTAAAATACTAGTTACCTCACATCAAATAAATCGATTCGGATTTCACGAGTATTTGATATCCATGCAATTTAATATAACTAGCTCTTTACATCAAAAGTCTTACATTCGAAATGTTTATTATTTTATTTTATTAAATATGTTTAAGTAATTTATTTTATTATCATTAATTTTATACTTTCTTTTATTTATTTACTTTATTTCGTTTTCCGTCCTGCATGAAGTTAATTTGTAACCGTTTTGTGTAGTATGATGATGGATTGGCGCACGGCTGCTGAGTTCGCTGGACGTCTGATTGAAGAGAGTTCTTGGTCTAGAACAATGTACTGCTATGCAAAAGCAGCGTTGCTTCTGCAAATGGGGGAGGATTGTACGTCCGATGAACGAAATCATATCACCGATTTGCTCAAGTAAGGGGCGGGCGTAAGTTTGTAACGACAGAGTTCGTGCGAATTAAACTAATCTTGTTGCATGACTTTGTTGTGTTTGTTATTATTCAAGCTTAGCTATACCCATAATTTTACCTTCTTTCCTTCTTTAACGCCTAACGCGAATGTGTTATTGCCATACTTGCATATTTGTTTGATTATTGCTCTACGTCTTTATTTTTAATTTTAGGTAAGTTCGGATCGGATAAACGTTCGGATTTTTTCAGCGGTGCGGTGGTAGGCCGTCGGGATTCGTTCGAGTATTTGTTTCTTTGGTTGACATAGTTTGTTTTCCAGAGCTGCTCCCCTGTATCGTCAGAAGATAGCGGGGAAGTCCCTACCGATGGAGAAATGGGTCCTGATGAAGTGCTCGAGGTACACGGCGCAGGGGGGGCGGCTGATGATGCCGGCGATGGAGCTGCTTTGCCTGTGGAACCTGATGTCAGCCCTCGCCGCCGACGTTCCCACGCTGCACTACCTCCTTAAGGTATAAAGTTATAGGAATAAAAGTGCGCTGGAGAGGTTACGGTTCCGTTCCGACTGCAACATACTTGCCATTCTATAAGTTTTGGATCAGTTCTCTCTTTACCTTTATTTACACGCACGTCATACAAATTACTTTAGTCGTACAATACTGACTTCAAGATAACCGGTCCTGCAATTTCCTTTAGTATTTTGGATATCCATTGTCAACGTCAATTAACATAAGGCGAAACACTTTAAACTAAGGAGAGAGATAGTGTTAGAGTAATTTATGTTGTTTATGTAGGAAACCATTTTAACCTTTCCTTTCACGTACAGAAGATAGACAATGCAAGCGAGACCCTTGACAGAGAAGAGACACGTTGGCCAGCTGCCCTGATTCCTGACAATCGTGCGTTAATCTTCTATCTACGCGGCTGTTGCTTATCTGCACTTGGAATGCAACGTTTGGCAATACAACAGTTCGATAAAGTCGTTGGGTAAGACAAACTTTGTCTTAGATATGTGGATTTATTATTTCATTACTTCTTACGTGCATGCGATAGTTTAGACAGAGGTCTATACAGGATGTATGAACAGACACGTAAATTCGGAATCCTTTAACGAATTGCTATGACATATGGTACTGATATATACCATGGGACATTATTAATTGATGTTATTTTACAGTCTGAAGAACATGATCAAATTGGACACATTCCTGGTGCCATACTCCCTCTATGAAGCGGCCTCCTGCCATTACAACCTCGGCGAGACAGACCGCGCTGTCCGAATGTGGCAAGAAACCAGGTACTACAATCTTACTTCATACTAATATTATAAATGCGAAAGTTTGGATGGATGTTTGTTAGAGTTTGTTGCCTAAACGGCTGAACAGATTTCGATGAAATTTGGTATAGACGTAGAGTATAGCCGGGAAGAACACAATAGCTACTTACTTGTTTTTTTTTATTCCAAGCAGAAGGAGTCTCGGGCGAAAGCTAGTATACTAATACTAAAGGAGTGGATGGATGTTTGTTACTCGGATTATCTGATCTCGATGAAATTTGACACATGTTGAACATAGTCTGAAAGCACACTACTACTTATTAAGATTTATTTAATAATCCCTGGATGACGTTTCAGGCAATAGCTAGTTTTAAAAATCACTGCACCTAGCATTCATAGTTAAAGATATTTAAAATTTCTGTAGATGCTACAAATGATTTCAGAGCCTTAAGATATGTAGTAAGTAATTGTAGTCATAAATGTTAAAATTATATTAGTTGAATAATACTATCAATTTCTTGCAGGAAGGGATACTCCAACTATTCCCTGGAATCTCGTCTCCATTTCCGTCTGCATTCCAAGCTGGAGATGGCGCAGAAAGCATCAGGTCAGGCTGCTACCAACATGTCTCTGCCCTCAAGGTCTCCAAAACACACGAACATACATGACAAAACCATCTAATTTATAGGTCTTATTACCATGTTAACTAACAGGGTAAAGTCAGTAACGCGCGTCTATATGTGTTAGATTGTCTCGATAGTATTAGTTGTAGAGTCACACGCGTTGAGACAAAGCAGATAACAGTCTAGTACTGTTCTGCACCTAATTAGGGGCTCTTCTCTGCCCCCGCGTGGTATATTTAAGTCTTGTATAATGGTAAGCCACTTGGCACATATTCACTTAATTGGAATGCACCCATTATACCCGGGTTGCTTAGCGTATAAGAGTACTGTAGCTTTTAAGACATATTAACCGCATTTAATGGAACTACATTTGTAAGGTTAAAAGCCAACTAATTATCAAATTCACTTACAATTTATTTGAATCAATAGACCTAAAAATTAAATTATTGGAAAATTGGAACTAAATTAAAAAAAAATTGAAAATTTCAATCTCTGAGATTGTTCTGATATTTTTTTATTATTGATTCTGTAAGATTGATTATTAATTGTTTTATTATTTACTTTAAAATATATTATTATATCTGATTAATTCATATATATTGTTGAGATATTATTTTATAATTTGATCGTGTGTTTATTTGATTCAGGTATGTAGTATGTTTAGGATTTTGTTCAGGAGCACTATAAGAATAGGTTAGATGTAGGAGTTTCGCCCCCCATTCGACCATTGATAATAGGGGTGATAACCGCAAAGTTTGGGGTACGGATTATTTCTTTTAGTTATAAGTTGAACAAATCTGTCCTAATCCCTCCAGTTCCGAACATTTACAATATTCTTATAAATATAATTTCGATATTTCTATATTAAATATTCGTACCCCAATCGGTGCGATATTGTTGACGACGCTGTGGCCAAATTTTTCACTATTTAAATTTTAAAATTCTATGGAGGCTGAATGAGCCGTTGTTAAATTATATGTTGTGGAATTGATTCCCATTCCATCGGGACGCACAACATGGCTTGTATTTTTAAATCGTTAACTATTTACCTAAATGAATGTAATTCAATTTTTTATCGTTTTATCTGATTTTACTAATTATTAAAAAATTATTTACTAACATTATATACTTTTGAAGTATTAAATTTTTATATGGACCATTCATTGACCTGGCTTTGACGGCTTATATTTATTTTCAATTATTATTTTAAAGTTTTAACACTATTCAAAATTTTGTAAAGAAAAAATAATTATTTTTATTTCTTTTATTAAAGACGATATTTGAATACGAGCTATTTATAATATTTATAAATTTCTCATATTACATATATTTTTTTAACCTTTACTTCTGGCAACTTTAGTGAATTCTTAATTTCCTATTTAAATTATTTGGTAAGCTAATTTTATTATTGGTTATAATTTTCTAGTTTGTCCCTTCGTTATACTTTTTAGCTATTTTTGTAACTGTAGTTTTTATTTTATTTTTTCTCGCGAACACTCGACGACAAAAAAACCGTATCAGGCGTTATGCAAATTAAATTTTCTTAAAATAACGATTATAAAGAAACTTTCATCTTTTCGGATTATTAAAGCTGTTAACATATACAAATTTATATAAACACACAATCTTACAACTTTTATGCATATATCTGTTTACAGTAAAAATTACAAAACATTTGGAACACAATTCCACATCCAGAGTTTGACCACTTCTTTTTGTCGTCGAGTGTATTTTTATAAAATTTTTACACCTTCATTATTCAATGTTATCTACCTTCAACTGCAATTATTTCATCCCTTAGACAACCTTCTTGGCTGTTGTTATAAAAATATTTATATATCTATATTAATAAATTATAGCTTCTATGTAATCCTTGCTCTATAGGAATTGTTAATAGACGTCGGTACTTGTGGCTTACAGAGGCCAAAAGCTTGTTGATTTTCTAACTAAGATTTCGTACTTTGTAAGTCGAAGTACTGAATTTGTTAAATTATATAATTTTTGTCTGAAGCAATTCAGACAAGGGCGTTCACCGCTAAGCCGAACTTAAATGTAATTTGAATGTAAGAATATACATTTGTGGATTTTTCAACGACGTGGGTGTATTATATATTTGTTATATATATTTATTTATTAATATAATTTATGTATTTTTATATTTTAAAGCTCTACAATCTCAGCTATCAATTTTAGTACACTGAATGGTCTATCGTTTGTAACAGTAATTAGTATGGCTTTACACAATGGTTACTTATACGTAGATATAAGATATTTTTGTCTCTTGGTGTTTAGATTATAAATCGATTTGTAGTACGTAAGTTTTAGATTGTAGCCTTAATTTGGTGATGCAGACATGTCATTTAATTTTTCACTATATGTTCTGATGTCTTAGTTTTCATTATATGTTACGTTTACAGTAAATGTGACTTGATGATTTGAAATGAAAATGATGTGATTTTAATGGCGAATTTTTCGATCTAAAATATGTTTTGTTGGAAATACCGAAGGTATATTTAGTTGGAAATGCAATTTCAATATTATTTGTATTTAAGATAATGCTGCCAAATTAAGGATGTTTATTGCATTGGCCTTCGGCCTAATTATTAATCGTAGATTTAGTATATTGGTGTTATTAGCTGCCAATAAGGCAAAAAAAATCAAAAAAACAAAAAAAATGTCCCCGACCCGGTCTTCAAAACGACCCTAAAACTTCGGGGGCTCCAAAAAAAATGTAGTTTAGGATTAGGCCCTGACTGACGATATCGCTCAATTTTGGCGCACAGCCATTCTCTCTCTAGACGGGAATTTGTGTTACGTCATTCAAGGCCTTACAAGGCAGCGCACTGACTTTGACCTTAAAAAGGCCTACTTCTATTTAGCTTTTTAAGTTCCTATATTTAATCTATCGTGGATATCCACTGCCGAGATGTTCACACAACACATATATCGTTAGCTCAGGAAGAGATAAAAATATGTTTATGTTTGAATATTTGGGCAATGGGAGCCACCTTTGGCAGCAGTCGGGCATAAATCGTGCTCACGTTCGGGTTCTGGCCGACTGTTTTTGCGCGACTTTGTCATAGATAAGTGACTGTATTCCATATACAATGTTGTGGTAGTTTTTTCCGTGTGTGACGGTAAGACCTTGCGCGTCATTCGTCTGACGGACGAGGCGCAGCTCTGCACTTTAATCGAGTTACGTAAAAGCGGTAAACATGGTTGATTGGATCACTATATTTTGGTAAAATTTATCGAATTTAGGCGAATGAAAACTTCGAAATAAGTGCAGAGTTACTGTCATGCATATACTTACTAAATGTCTCTATGTCCGGCCGTCTGGCAACGACTGATTGAGTGCTAGGGTAAATTTGGAAGACTGGTCGCGGCCCCTGGGGTCGCTTGAACATTTGGAAGTGATATTTAGGATGAGTCGCAAAGGATGGCCGACTATATATGTAATCAACTATTTAATGTGATAAATGTTAGTTGTATCCGTACCCATTAGTCCTTGAGCTTTCTTTCTGGTGCTTAATTTCTCTTATTTCCTCATTCTATAAGAATTACTACAAAAAGAGAAGAAAACACTCAAACATATTTATTGTTTATTGTCTGACCTTTGTAAACTTTTTGAAACGATTCCTACAATATTACTACTATTGATTCTGTTTCTAAAGTTTCGGCTATGGGTATTTTATGTAATAAATGTATGTCGTAAAAAATTCAAAGCTGTTTTATTTCTATCAAAACCTTACCTTTATCTATATAAGAATTGAACTCAAAAATCATTTGAAGTAAACCAAATAAAAGCGCACACACATCTTTGATTAAATGACACAACTGTTTAGTCTCGCTTTGATTCCTATGAGCTTCTTAGTTGTGCGACTAAACAGTTGAATTTGCTGCGAAACAATCGACAATCGCACAACAGTGTTGAGATAGTTTAGTCAAAAGTCTGCGCCCACTCTTAAGAATCTAATCAAAACTATATAATCTTGTAGGTGAAAGTAGCAGTGTTTCGTAGCGATCGTAGCCTGCTACGACAGTAGCCACGCATTAAACTCTGTAGCAAAATATTACATTACAATCTATAGGGGCATCACATCTAGAAAGCTTCTAGAAACATCTATATGCTACTAAACATGCCTTTGACAGTCTAGACTTTGGTATTGTAGCCATTATAATAACAATTAACGGAAACCTTACTAAATAAAAAAAATAACACTTTAAATAACTCGTGCGCAAAAGCTTTGTCAATGAAATCACAGGACGTGGTCGACATAATAGGAGTATTTTTCTTTCGCAAACCTTCTGCGCACGGCTACTACCATGACCAATCTTGAATAGACAAAAGAGGAAATGTGAATAAAAACGATAGTTCCTATTTCATCGCTTTACCTCCCCTTTCAAATCTATTTCCACCTCCTATATTGGAAAAGAATGGGAAGGAGAAGTAGACTAGAATAGGCAGCACACAATCATCAGGCGTGACGTCGGAGCTAGCAATTTGTGCACCGGGTAAGCCTACGGTGGACAACTCTACTATCACATCTCCAGAAATTAAAATGGCTATAAGTAAAAATTAGCATAAAGATTCTTATTACTAGTGAGAGGAAAGCATGTGACTGACATATATAAGTTTAGATGTGTGACAAGAAGGGATAAAAATAAGAATGTGTATATTAGAGGAAGTTGAGAGTAGCTCCAGTGGTTGAGAAATTGAGAAGCAGAGGCAAAAGGTTAGCATGGTATGGACTTATGCGCACATATGATCATATAGACAAAGAAGTATGATGGAATATGGATAGCAACCAAGGTAGAGGAATCTCAAAGAAAGTATGAGATTATGAGAGAGATGATGTATGTATGAGAGAGGATATGCTTAGGGTCAATCAGATGACAGCTGATAGAGATGTATGGAATAGCCGTACGTATTGCACATACTCCGTTAAGACAAGGTCAGGTTTAAAATTATTCCTAAATTTTATCGATTTTGGAAGTAAGTATAACTAGTATAGAAATATATGTAAGTGTGGGAGAGTTAATAATAATAATATTAACAAACTTTATTTAGAGCTACACTTATTTTTTGCTCATAGTTTGTGAGTAACAGAAAAAAAAACTTAATACCTATGTTAATCACAGATAAATCTAAATATTACATTTTATATGCTATGTTACAACCTATGCAGTTATAATGGATAGACTATAAAAGTTACCGTCCAGTGTTGCCATATTTCATACTGTATATAATCTGTGGAAAGATCTTTCTAGAAGCTGGAGCCACGCCCTTGCATATATCAGTTACATCTAGATATAGTCAGGCGTTACCTAGGTTTCGAGACGGATTCAATAAAATGACGCATGCGCGACATGGGATGTGAGATTGGGAGTCTGCGTATATATTACGCCTCGTCCATTACGATGTGAACAGTGAAAGACGTCGGTGGTGTGATGTGGGCCTCCGGCGGGA